TTCCCTACAAGACTCTGTGCCTACATAAGTGAGTACATATTGTAACTCACTGGTCCTTTGGAAATGGTACCATAAAATATGTGCGTTTCTACTGAAAGAGCCTACTGAGGTTTGCAATCTCCGTGCGGGATCGTAGCGGAGTCAGTGTGGTTAGCCAAAAAGCTGCCTGGCGAAGGTGCAGGGTTCACCGTGTTTATCCTCAAGTAAAAACAAGTAATGCCTTGTCTCATTGCTAATTTGCACAGATGTCTCAATTTCGAACACATCCTTTTTTCCAGGGAAGCCTAGGCAAAGCAAACAGAAGCTTGCTGAGCTCTCACTACCGAGTCAGCCTTATCTATACCATCATCTTCAAAACCTCCTTTCAAGACCTCCTTAAGTGCCAGCATAGCCATAAACACATACATTTGTACTACTAAGGACTTCATCTGGTCCCTCTGTATGTGCCTGTTGCTCTCTTGGCAAGGCCAAATCCACTTCAGACCCTTGATGTGGTCCCCAAAGGGTGTTGGTATGGTAAATGTGCTTGGCATATGCCTGGCAAACAAGAAATGGATTTTTGAAACACAGCAGTAGTTGCTGTGCCCAAGGCCACATTTGTGAGGAGTTCCGTCTGCATGTTGCTGTGTGTATGGGTAATTAGTAGTTCATTGGAGTCAGCTAATACCTCCTAGTTACCGCGTTTGCTAAGAATGAGGGCAGGAGCTTTGGAGCCTTCCTCAGCTGCGGGTGTTCAGGCAGACCCGTCTCAGGGGAGTCGGATGGGTTACAAAGAAACACGGGGATCTAATTATTTACCTGCAACTATGCTGAGTTTGCCAAGGAGATAGAAAGGGAATAGTTTTCCAGTCTGGTAATCACGGCCCTTTCCTGGGAGGAGAAAGGTCTGGGTTGTAGTCTATGATTTGAGAGCTGTTTCAAACATCTGAGCAGCCCTCGGAGCAGGCAACAGACCCCAGTCTCTTTTCTCTTAACAAAGGGTCCTCACTGACAGACTATGCTGTCACACCCCCTGCCTGGGACGTGGATCTTGAATTCTCCCTTGTAGAACCAAACAACTTCCCCAGAAAGGATGACCAGGGCTGCTTTTGTTTCCCTATAGCCTACGCTCTGGTGGTGAGGGCAGTGCTAGCAGGGGAAAAATGCAGGGCTCAAAGTCACTGCAATGAAAAAGACACGGAGCTTGGGTCACCCCTCTCCTTAATGAACACATTCTGAATTACTGGATGTGGTTTTCTTTCTTTTTTTTTTTTTTTTTGCGTTCAGGCAGACCGGATCGTTTACCAATATGTAGATTTTTTTTTTTACAACACTGCGCAGAGGCAATAAAGCCAATGTAAGGCTTCAGGGCATACCATTAAACCTGCTGAAGCACACTGCTTGGGAAATGCAGCCCTGGGGTGCTACAAAGGAGATGAGACCAGTCCACTGCTGGCCACATTTTTAAATAGAAGTGTGAGTTCTGCTCCGTTTTTTTTGAAGGCTCAATTGTAGGCTGTGAATTCTTTTGCAGTGCAGTGTCAGTAACTTAAATAACGCAAGGAATGGGATTTCAGGTGTATGTTTTTCTTTAGCATTGCCAATTGACTAGATCAGATGGATCCTTCTTCCAGCCTATCAGCCAGTCTGGACCTCACTCCGAGACAGCCTTTCCTTCCCGCTGCATGAGGAGTTTGTGTATCTAACTTGGGGCTATAGAGTCCCTTCTGGGAGGCAATGCCTAAAAATCAGGTGATTAAAATGAAGTTTTGCAGTGCCCGTTTCTTGCAGGAACAGAAATTTGATAATCCTTCCTTAAAATTAGCAAAACATAATGTATAAAAATTGAAGCTTGACAAATTCAGTTTCAAGACAGATGTTTCCTAAGAGTCAAGATAAGTAACCACTGAAATGAGATGGTCCATCTCAAAAGTTTTTCTAAAAGATATTTTTCTAGTGAAAAAGATAAATATTTAATACGAATCCTATGGATGTCAAAACACATGTTCATAGTAGTCCAGTTTTTCTTTATAATTTATGAGTTTAATATGCATATTACGCAAGATTTTAAGTAAAATATTTCCTTAGATGATTGCTGAAAGTTATCTTAGCAGGGCATCCATTCAGTTCAACAGCATCATCAGTGAAGGACTGCCACTCTCCAAACTAAGTTTCGTGCATTGCAACCCAGGTCAGAAGTCTCCCTACAGGGTTCATCTCTGTGTTAATTTTTTTTTTTTCAGGTACATTCCTGCGCGCATTATTTTGGAATGAAAATTGAGAGAGTTGCTGTTCCATTCATCCAGAATTTTACATTTTAAAGATTGTTGTTTGCATAATAATTTACCCATAAGTAATCAATACTTCTGAGAGCACCACTCGCTTACACATCCTGCTAGGAGATTGCCTTTTCAGGCCCTGATATTAAACAGCCTGAACTGTAATTTGTGGAAGCATCCATGTCCAAGAAAGGTGATTATTGTAATTCATACACACCTGCTTGAGGAGAATAGGCATTTTTATAGATATTTGTAATTTTTAGGATACAGATACACATAGGACAGGGTTAGTAACCTAGTCAATAACCTAGTCTTAGGGGATGGACTCCAAAAAGTATATAATATCAAAACATACTCAAGTTTTGACAATATATTTCCTTGGGTACCTTAAGGTACATCTTCTGCCTCAGTCTAATCTGGCCTGAGCAGTTCAGTTGCCTTGATCTGCCTGAAAATGAGCAATCCCTTTGCTATACACTCTCATAGACCTGAGATGTGTGCTCAGGCAAAGCCTAACACCAGCAGGATCGAGCAGCATGCAATCCCAAGATTTAAGACTGCTTCATTCAAATAGCTTGGCCAAGGGAAGTCATAATGTCTTTTTAATATAACAGCTCAGTGGCTAGAGTACTCACCAGCATGAGATTGGATCCCATGTTCTCCCCTCTGTGTGGAGAACAGGAGAGCGGGCTTAAAGTCTTGTCTCCACCTTTCCAGAAACCACTGAGCAAAGGGCGATCCGAATGCCAAAGGTGGGTGGAGGGGGCACTCTTCA